AACAGGGCGGGAACTTCCTACTGGCAGCCATGGGAATGAGCACATTGCTGAGTTACAGCAAACTCCTGTGACACACCAGTGTCACCCTCACGTCCCAGCTGGCTTTGGTCACCGTTGAAGGTGCTGCTTTCTGAGCCAGTTTTTGGGGTGGGACAGTTCCCAGTTTCATGTGTAGCCAGGGTGCCATGTAGGTTACATGTCTGGCACAAAGTTTAAAGTTTGCAAGTGCTGCTTTGAATTAAGTTTCCCTTCTCTTGTGGTTTTCATCCTGGTGCTCAAGCCTAAAGAAACTTGTCTCTTGTCAGTGCAGTGAAGTATTGCTAGCTCAACTCCATCAACAAAGAAGAAAATATTTTTGCTTTAAAAAGAAAAAAAAAAAGCTCTAGTAGTACCATGTGCTGAGGTGCTTTTGTCTCCATCATGCTTTGCTGCTCTTTGCTTGCTAGGTATAAAATGCATTAGTGTTTCACACTGAGAAACATTACTAAAAACTAAATTTGTGGTCTTTACAACCCGTCAAGAGTTCTTTTGGGTGCTGCAAGGATATTGGCAGATGGGGAATACTGACAGAGGAGCGGCCTAAGAAATTTCAGCCACTTGATTTTAGACTTTGGTCAGTGAGAGGATGTTTGGGGAGGAGAAACAAAAATTATGAAAAAATTAGGAGTATCATGTTGTTGCATAGTCCAACAGCTGCATCTCTTTTGACAGCAGAGCAAAGGGATAATGAGGGAAAGGCTTGAGCAATGTTCCTGCTTCAGGCAGAGCAAGAGCTCTTCAGTGGGGCAGATAAGAGTAGAACACCACGGTCTGGTCTCTAGAGCATTTCTGGACTCTAGAAACTGAAGATAGGATCATTCAGAACGAGTGCTGGCCATCAGAGCCATGTGCAGACGGTGGTGAGGGGTTCTTCATCACTTTGAGGAAGTTGGGTAAATATATTTGAAGTGTGGGCTAGTGGGTCTGGCAGTTGACCATCAACCCAGACTGCAGGCTCTCAGCACCTCTGTTCTTGTTGCTAAAAATTCCTTGTTGCTGTGATAATTGGTGCAAATGATGCAACTTCATTTACATTGCCACTTGTAGAAGAGCATTTTCCAGGCCTCCGTGTCTACTTGACCGCTGAGAAATGCAGCGCTGGCTGATAAGATGGCTATTTTGCAGTGGAAACACACCTTCCACATCTAATCCAGTTATGACTGAGCAGAAACCTTTCAAAAGCCTCTGCAGATGGATTGCAGCAGTTCTGCTGTAGACTGTTTGTGTGACAATGGGTGCTTGTGGATGACAGGTAGAGAATAAACCACATTCCAGCCTCGGTGGGGGCAGAGCTTTCAGTGAACTGTGATATCCCGGGCACAATTAGGTCTTGTGACTGGTACATCATCCCCTGACTTTTTCTTTTCCTCATATGCTTCTTCCTCTCCATTTCTGGTGTTACCAGTGTTTGAAAGAGCAGTAATCTCCATTTACCACATGTTCCCTCTCCAGTCTGTTCACCATGTTGCTCTGCAGCAGGTATTGCATACCCACAACTTATTCAGCTTTGTATTAAACATAGCTGACCTTTGCAATCTCCCTGTCTCCCCTTCCCATCAGAGTCTGAAGTCCTGGAGAACAATGCTGCTTATAATCCTAAATCCAGTAGTAACACAGAGGTACAGAAGAGGCAGCAGCTGTGTTATCAGGATGCAGTGACACTACCCCTCATTTTGCTCATTATATTATAAATGTTGTTATCCTGGGAGACTCGGCCTTCTAGTGGTTTGCATCTTCCACTGAGGTGTGCTTCTTGGCTAAGGCTCCAAGTTTCCATATTTTATTTCAGTGTATGTTGTGATTTGCCTTGGTAAATCTGAGAACAGGAGATGGAAAACTGAATGGAGACAAAAATTAGTTTACAACCGGCTGTGCCTATTACCATTCAGTGTTCTGCAAATGGACAAAATGAGGGATTGCAGCTGGATTGTCTTTGTCCCTGGAGCTGTTTGGTGAGCCGTGCTGGTTTTTATGGCTTCCTTATAACCTGCCATCTTTGGTCTGTCATATCTGTACTGGTTTCTTCCTGGGAAGGTGTCTCTTTCTGCCTGGATGGGAGCTGTACAGGAGGCTGGCTTAAAAGCCCTGGCCTATCTACATTCTTAGGTACTTTTAAAAGTAGTCTTTCTCTAAAAAGCCTTTAGTGATGCCCTTTGCAATTACAGAATTTTGAAAATACTCAGGATTGCATAAAGTGCTGTGGCCCTCATAGACTCGTTCTTCAGTCATGTTCTCCTGTCTGCCTCCTTCTGTGGTGCTTGGGTTTTTATGCTTATATTATAAGGGGTTTTTTTGGCCACCTTTAGTACCTTGAATACTGATCTGTGGCTGAGGCTCCGGGTGCACCATAACAGCAACATACCAACAAATTGTAACTTGAAAACTTAACACAGGGAAGGAAACACAGTTTCCAGCCTGGACCCTCCGGTTCCCACCTCAGTGCCAGGAGGTGATGAGGCACTGTGGGAACATTGCCTGAGCAGTTTTCAGACTTATTTTCTGACTACTTATTATGCCAATCAGGAGTTGTTTCATCCTTAGAAGCCCACCCGTAAGCCCTGCAGGTTTAATCGCCGTAGCAGAGAACAGAGGGTGCCCCCAAACCTACAGCTGTGAGTTTGAGCTCCCGGCTCTGGCAGGAACAGTGATGCCTTCCCTCCCGGTGCCTGACGCTCCTCGGGTGGCTACTGACCTAAAAAGGGACAACGTTCCCCCCCCCTCAGCGGGAAGTAATTGCCTTGGAAACCCCCTCTGAACATCTGGGTCCGATCAGGCTGAGCATCCCCAGCGAGCATCCGCGGTAGCGGAGCCTTGGAAGGGGCTGCGCTGCCGCCACCGAGGGGGTTGCGTCAGGGGAGCAGCCTCCCGGGGCTCCCGGCGCTGCTGGTGCTGCTGCCTTTCGTGGCTTGCCAGGGACAAGCTGCAGAACAAAACCGCAGGGCTCAGGGCGCAGCTCAGAGCTGCAGGGCTCGGGGAGCCAAACCACAAGGCTGAGGATGTCAGTAATTACGAGCCGGGAAAAGCAGGTTTTTGGTTCTTCGGCCGCGTACGGGGCTTTGCCTGCTGTATAGGGGAAGTGTGAGAGCTGTCTGCTGAGGCTCCACTGTTCTCCCTACAGTTGTTTTAGAAGCACACCAAAATGAAAGATTACCCCAGGTGGCCCTCAGTAATAATCTCAGGGGAAGTGCCCCAGAAAGTTGCAGAGAATACAGAGCAAATAGAAATGAGGCAGAAAGGAGAAGCCAGAGCAACTTCAGAGCAGTGTGATAGCTGAGGAAACTGGTTAGGGAGATAGTCGTGATGAGCAACGGGAGAAACAGCTACATAGAAGGGACCAAAGCAATCAGGTTGTATTTCCAGCTAGGAGTAGGGACCCACATTTATTTTGCACTGGCATTGAACTAGCTGAGGGGAGCCCAGGTGTGGTCATCATGGTTCACACAGTGCTGGGAAAATGAGCAGCAGTGGAATGTGTAGTTACCTCTTTCTGGACAGTTCCAGCAGCAGCAAGGAATGAAAGTCTCCAGTGTTTATAACCTTTCTTCTTTTCTCTTTAATGTTTTGTGTGTAACGTAAAAGCCGTGTAAAACCTACTTAAATCCCAGAACTTAAGTGGAATCTCCTATGGAGTGTGAGTCCAAACAAAAGGCATCTTTTGTCCACTTTAAGTAGTTTGCAGACCTTTGGTTTGAATTGTTTGCAAAATTTAGGCGATGCCATATTTAGAGTTGCATGTGAAATCGTAATTGAACTTATAAATTTATTTTAGTTTCGAGGTCACACACTATTTTTCCAGGGTGTGCCTGCTTAAGCCTATGATAAGATGGTTTCACTGAATGAGTAGCTGTTCAAGACTTTTGTTTATCATCTTCATTTCTGTGAGACTTGGAGCATGCTTAATGCAAGTGGAATCTGTGATTTTATTTAATTTTTTTTTCCCCCTCCTTCCCTGGAACTGAAAGGCCTCTACTTCACATGTGCCTCTAGGAAATTCCAAAGGTTTAATATTTATCCAATTTTTAATGAATTTTCACAAGGAGGCAAAACTCAGCTGACATACCAAATCCCTCAAATCCCTCGGTCAAATGGATGTTGGACTTTATTAACATTTATAATGGGGTTTTTTCTGTTTTTCTTTTTTAAATGCTGAGGATCACTCAGTGGCTGAAAATGTCTTATTGTAATGGAAAGTGTTAGACTGCTTTGACACTGGGCGTTCTTTCTAATTCAACTATGATGAAAGAACGTGAGTGTTAATTAGGAATTTTTTCCATTTTGGGTCCTGAGAGCACTTCACCGTTGTTGAAATGTGAACCTAAACTCACAGGATGCTTGCCCTGGTCATCGAAAGTGTGTTATGTTTGGGCAGTTCTGAGGGGACACGGGACAGCGATGGGGTTTGGCTTTCCTAGACCCTTGGTCAGGATGACGGTGTGCATCCCCCTCAAGTTCGCTGTGTCAGTGCCTTTTGTAGCACGAGCCATCTGCCAGAGTTTCAGTTTCAGGATATGAGATTCAGCAGCTAAAGATATCCGTGGGATTGTTCCATAAAAAGCCCTTGGTAAGGTGTTTGGCAACACGTGGTGTGAGAGTTCGCAGGAGCCGAGCGCGAGGCTCCGAGCGCAAGGAGCGTGTGAGGTGGCAGCAGGCATTGGCTGCGGCAGAATTCCCACTGATAATTACAGGGGTGATCGCTGCTGGCCAGGGGAAGCTCCTGAGGGTTTTGCAGCTCAAGTGCATCAGTCCATGCTGCTGTCACCTCTCCAGCATGCACAGATCCCCTACAACCTTATCCTAGTGCCCTGTGGCAGCGAGCAGGGATGGTGGGAACTGCTGCCATTAGTGCATTTTAATATTTTTTTAAATAAAATAATAGAAATCTGCTATATTTTATATATAATTGTGTTTGTTGTTTTATCTTTCTTTTTCTTTTTTCTTTTTTTTTTTTTTGTTATTACCAGAGTGCCTCTGATGGCTTTTGGAAGTCAGTGGCAACCCGTGTCCCAAGAGAACCTCATGAGATACGTATCCTGAATCCCTTCTTCATCCAGGAAGCAGCTTTCAGCTTCATTGGACTGCCTTTCAACAACGGCCTGATGGGCAGAGGGGTAGGTATAAAGCAAAGGAAGCAAAACCACAGAGAAGGATGGGAGACCAAGCAGCAGAGTAGGCTGTTCTGGTTTTCTCTTTGGGCCTCTGCTGTTGGACATTGAAGGGAAGGGACTTTGGCTCTGTTATGGTGGCAGCACTCAGTCTCCTGCAGACCAAGGCAAGATCCTCCCTGATCTGAGGAGCCTGAGGGGGGGGATCATCAGCATTTCAGCAATGCCTTGAACACCACTGTGGAGTTGCATCCCAGGCTTATATAGCAGAAGAGGGTAAAGATTGTTTTATGAGGCCTTTGGTGGGAAATTCTGATCTCGCAGCAACAAGTTTTAGATGTAAAAGCTTACAAAAGAAAACAATGCAAACCTCAGTTTTAGGTCATATTTATTAACAAAATGCCTTAATGGTCATTCTCATATCTCTCACCCCCAGTGCAACTTTTTGGAGTGTTAGTGTTGAGTAGGTGGTGACCTGGGTTTTCTGGATTATCTCACATTGCAATGCTGTCCTCAGAACCTATTTATATTTGCTCTACGTAATATATCAGCCATTAGAGTAAGCATTACTTGGGTGGGTGAATTGCTCATGTACACATGTGATATAGTTGTTGATAGAGACCACACGTGACATTTTTGGGCACATTAGCACATCTGACAAACCCAGAGAGAAGCACTTTCCCTGGACGAGGTCTGCTTGCTCTGCCCCTTCCTTTGCTATCAGCGCAGGAGATTTGCCGTGTCACAGCATGGATTTGGACTAGACGGAATAGTGACTCATTTTCCATGCTCTAATTATATCACAAAGACTTCAGAAACATTAGAGACATTTGCTCTGTGCAAGTCAGATGGGTGGGTGCCTGGAGATAAGACATTTCCTTCTTGAAATGCGATGTGCGAGATGTGCGGGCAGATTCAGCCACATGGAAAGGGCCTTTTGTAAAAGGCACTGCTCTGTGTGTGTATGTACATGCAGAAGCTGTCACAGGATTGTGGGAGCACTGGATTTTTGTTCTGGGAGCACTGAATATTCCCATCAGCTGGGAACTAATTTACTTCACCTCTCTACATTCTCCAGAACTTACCCTTAGAAAGACGGGGTCTTGGTTTGTCTCCCAGAAAATCAGGACTTCTGTACCACTGAAGGACAAAAATCATCAGACTTTCGCCTTTATTTTTCTCTAGATTTGTTTTTATTTTTAAACACGTTATTTTAATACAGAAGTTATTACTTAAACTGAGAGAAGAGAGAATCAGGAAATGAAAATGCCGTGAACTGAAGTTTATGAGGTTTTGATAGGTTGTTTAACACACACTGGATTGGGAAGTGAAGGCATCTTAATTGAAACCTGATGTTTCACTTCACAAAAGTCCATTTGAGCATTTGAAAATAGTTTATGGAGCTTTAAGGCAAGCAGTCTTTGCCCATGACCCCTGCTAGACTGTGTGAATTGTAGCTTATTCCTTCAGGTGGGGCAACAGGAGCTCTGCAGGTGCATGTGAGGGGCTGGCATGTCAGTATACACTGGGCAGTCTGTGCAAGGATGCTAGTGTAGGGATTCTGTCAGAGTTTGAAAGCTGAGAGAATGTTTCTAGCCTGTGAGTACAAATTTTACTGCAGACATCAACTGTGGACTGCTGTCATGGAGCTGCAGGGACTTCACGCTTTAGGAATGATGCTGCATCAGTGCAAAGCTTGGAGCTTTGTAGGTGCAAAGGCTCCAAGAGGAGCTACTGCTGCCAGTGTAAAGAGGGAATAGTCTCAGTAGGATCCTGGTGACACAAGTTTGCTACTGACCTTTTATTCACTCAGAGTTTAAATGGGAAGAGTGGAAATTAGAGCCTGTAGACCAAGAATCCACCTCTCACTAAAGATTTGCGAGAGGTCCAGCAAGGTGAGTCGGGCAGCTAGAGCGAGGAGAATTAGAGCATGGCTGGGTGGGTGCAGGGTCATGCTTTACAGGTGAGAGACAGCCTGGAAAACTTTGCACAAGAAAGAAGCATATTAACATGGAAAGGAAGATGCTGAGATCTACTAAGCAGAAGCAGAGCGAACAGTGTTCTGAGTTTGTCCAGGGAAATTGGGTAGGAGGCTGATTGGTGCCCCCGTGCTGCAGCGTGCTGTGGTGTGCTGGACAGGAGGATCAAGGTTGGGGATGCCTTAGTAATCAAGGGCAACACGAAATCCTCGTAAAGAGCAGTAATATTCCACTCTTCTTTGGTTCTGATGCCTAAATAAACTCCAGTGCTTCTCTTGCACACCACATATGGTAACAATGTGCTGCCAATTAACTTTGTAATTTGGGGGCTTTTTCAGCAAGGTTGAGGAGAGCTAGTAAAATAGTTTGGGGCTGATCTCAAAGCGTTTTTCCCAGGATTCAATAAAGGGTGAATGTAGTAACATCCTCTACTTTGATAATATAATTTGGGCCAGATGGTTCTGAAGGATAGCAGTGGCATGTAACTCAGATGTGCATTTTGATTGCACTTGTAGCACTAGTAGCCAAAAGTCTGAGCAAGAAGCAAAACTTGTCACCCACAATGAACAGTGGCTTCTCTCTGGGACTGATAAAGTTTTTCAGGCGTTTTCTCAGTCCCTTTACTTAAATCTTAAGAGAGGGAGAGTTGTTCTCTACTGCATGTGGACTTTTCTTGGGTTAAGCTGATGATAAAGAAAAACCTTAAGGATCCTAGCAATGTCTGGGGGAAAACCTATGTTAGTGCCTGGAGATGGTTTAACAGAAAAGAAATTATCCAGTCAAGATCCTCTCTCTAATTAAAGAATCCTGTGAAGTGTGGGTACAGGGCTGGCTTTCTCATTGGCCAAAGGTATGTATGTGATTTTTGTTCAGGTGGAAGTTCTATGTATGCAGGTCTTTGGGCAGTCAAGACAAATCAGACATCACTGGTGTTGCAGCTGGTGGTTCAGGCAGGCAGTATCCCTTACCCTGCAGACAGTTTACTGAGCATTACTCCAGGGACACCATTGCTGGTGGCACATACACCACTAGGGATGGTCGTTGCCCTGGTGCCTTTTGCTGTGCAGTGAATAGTCCTGTCCAGTCAGAGCCATTGCAGCAGTGGCCTTCTGGCTCCTCTGGGAGCCCTGAGCCTGGTGTGAGGTGGCCAGGAGAACACTGCACAAATTATCAGGACTGAGGACTCCAGTGCAGACTGTGGTGTTTGTTTGTTTCTCTCCTGTGCTGGTGCTGTGCATCCACAGATCTTTTTGTGATTTAACTTCTTATGAGAGTGAGAGTCTACAGTCCAAAACTGTAAGCCTTTGATTTGCTCATGTATTGGAAATGGCTCAATGTTTGAAGAGATAAAACCTCCTCCTCTGGACTTCACCCAGCCTCAGCACCAGCGTGGTGAAGGAGGAGCCATGTGCAGGAGGTGTTACCAGTCTGTGTTAGGCACCCAGCCATGGATTAGCACCTCTGCAGAGTGCTGACAGCCCTCATGAGCTCAGGGATTAACCTCTGATGCTGGAGTGTTAGCACGTCCTGGCCCAGGGCTTCTCTTAGCTGTTTGGTGGTTTTGGCTGTGGGCAGTCAGCCATTCTGGACATGCCAGACCTGGGGACCCTTTCGCTCCTTAGGCAGTTTTCAGCTCCCTTGGCTTTACATGACCCTTCCTCTCATGAGTTGTCAGCAAACTTTGTCTCCTGGGATGTTCTTGCTGGACCAAGACTCTGTGAAGGCCGTGTCTTTGGACTTGTCGGGTCTTTGTGAAGCAGAAGAGAGGAGGGGGATGGCAGGAGGAGAGCAATCTGCCCCTCAGTCCTTTCCATTTACATGCTGCTTCTTGTTTTTGCACTCTGATGGCATCTTCTAAGACATGTAGAGGGACGGGTAAAGGGCCACTGCAGCTGCAGTCAGTTGAATGTAGAGACGACCTGTTATTGTACTGCTTTGGGTTTGCAAGACAGCACATCTGCCTTGTGGGCTGGACCACTCCATCCATTCCCACTGCAGTGTGATCAATCCATGAGCTGCTGGGGAATAGGTGCTTGGACAAATGGAAGGGAGCAGGTGAATGCAGACCAGGCCCTGCTTGGTAAAAGCCCAGCCACGTGCTTCTGCACGTGAGGGATGAGAAGTGGCGGAAGGGAGTTCACTTCTCAGTGAAAGGGTAGGCCACGAGCTCCCACTGAGCGGGGCGGGGCGTAAGCATATATGTGGTTATCACAGAGCAGATAGCACGTAGTAAAGTCATGCCCTTGCCTGCCCTCTGTTAAATCCTTAGGTCCTGTAGAGATACTCCCTGCATGGCACATGAGTCTGCTCAGTGGCAGGTGGTGAATCAGAGCCTGTGCCTCAGGTAGATGTGGTCAAAGATACCTTGGATTGGGCTGAGGTGTATTGCAGCTCAGCAGTCAGCTGGCAGAAGGGAACTGGAAGGGAATTGCTGGCTTGTCACATCTCCAGCAACCAGCCACTGGCCCTTCCCTTTGCTCTGCTGCAGACCACCAGTTCTGCAGGCTGTGTCCCACTCACAGCAAGGGATAACTAGGGGAGCTGAAGGAAAAGCAGATACTCTGCTTTGTGTTTTGAATCCCAGTATTGTGGCTGGTTTTGTGCCTGAATGGAGGTAGCTGTGGGAGCAGCAGTGTGCCTTGTAAGTTCCTGTGACAGGGATCACTCCACAGAATGCCAGGCACTGGTCTGCTCACAGTGAATGATACCAAATTGCTTTTTATGCCATATTTCCAAGCTTTTCAGCTAAGGGAAATGAAGAACAGGTTCGGGGTTGCTCCTATGCAAACATAAAGAAACAAAAAGAAAATACTGTTGAGTATGTTGTGGTGACTATTATAGTTTTTTCTGTATGTCTTTTGTTTTGAAAACTTCATTGCTATTAGGTGATCAGGTCTGTAACTGATAAAACTAAGGTAGCCATTTTTCCCAGGTAAGCAATTTCTCAGGTTTTCCCTCAAATAATTTAATATAGTAGTCAAACCAGTTTGAATATCTAGGTGCATTATTGTTTGTAGGGAGTTTATTCTTTAGTAACACTTACCTTTGAATTGAAAAAGGTAACATTTGGAATAGTCTGAAGAGTCCAATAAGTCTTACCCTGAGCCAAGTAAAATCCCATAAATAACTGGAATTCATTTAACATATTAAGGGAGTCAAATATTTCTAAAAACAGATTTACAGCAGTCATTTCCTTCCAGTCCAGCAGGCAGTGACACAGGAATGACCCGGGCACGGAATGAAAAGCAGCAAGAGCTTTTCACATGCACCAAGCAAAGAGCAGTTCCGGCTCAGGTTCAGTCACCAGTGCTGGATCTCCAGCACAGTCCTGTGAGGTGATGCTCACCCCCAGTAGAGTCCAGAGGAGGGCTGGTGTTCATTTCTGCTGACTGATTTCTGTGAGTAGAAGTCAGCCTTGAAAGCCTCTTCAGGGGGACCAGTGGAAGATGAAACATCAGTGTCTTGAGGGGAAGCCTTTTATCTTTACGGTTGCAGCAGAGAACAGTGTAGGACCAGTTAGGAGAACCTGTCCTGTGTCTGTACTGCTTAAAGGCACTTGTGGTCCCCTGACCTGGCAGTGCAGACTGGCTGTGTTTGCACTGCACAGAGCTTGCAGTGGTCCCTGACGCAGCACAAGACCAGAAGTCCTTTTCTCTCTTGTCTTCATGCTTTTCTCACCAAGATCCACCAAGCTATGTGCTCACCTCAGCCACAGAGGACATGTACTCATGGCTCTGGAGGCTCAGGCAGCCTTTGCCCAGCACTGCTGCGGTGACATGTTGCTCACCACTGCTGTGTTTGCTGCTTCTGTTTGTCACAGGGCCTTTTAGTGTCATCTCTGGCTCATCTGTCAGTCTGCTGCGTTCCCTCAAATGGGACCAGGCAAAGGGCTGATCCCTGGGGAGCATTCTATTAGATCTTACATTTTCCAGATGTTTGGTCTTAGACAAGCAGGCCAGGCTTGAAACTGTGGACTTTCAGTTCTGGACATGTTATGCAGTGAGGTTGCCCTTGTTGTTTACCAGGACTGGAGAGAGGATGCTGAACCTGTTATCTCCATGGGCCCCAGCTGGGACAGAAACCATTGACGCACAGCAGGCAATACAGAGCTTGCAGGGCCGATTTCAAGGCTTGTGGCAGGGAATTGACAGGAGGAAAGGACTGCCAGTGCTTTCTGGGGCTTTGCCATTCCCAGCTCACTCTGATTGATGGGCGCCAGTTCAGGTCCAAAACTCATCATGCCCACAGTCTGGAGCAGTGGTCCTGTTGGGCCACTCCAGGCAGCCCCTTGCCATGGCCTAACCTGTACTGGCCAGTCTCTGGGCAGCTGGGAGGCATCCCAGGAGGCTCCTGCCTCAGCACTGGCCCCTGTTGGGCTCTTGCTCTTCAACCATTTGGCTGAAAGCACCATTGCTTGGTGATACAGGAACACCCAGGCACACAGAGGGCCATGAGCAGGAGGACAGGCTTTGAGCTGGTCCAACACCAGGGTGTTATTCCTGAGGCAGGATGCTGGGATTTTGGGGTTTTTTTGCCTTAGCAAAGGCCTAGGATAACAAGAGGCCTGTTCAGTTGTTTGAGAGAGTTGTATTTTCGTAATGCAGTGCAGGAGGTGTGGTGGTTGCTTTGGTATGTCTTTGGGGCACGGCACGAGGGTGTGTGTGGTGAGATAGCACTGACGCATCGAGCAGGGCATAGCAAGCCAGATTTGGCACAGCCATGTCCGTGATGCCTGACTCCTTTTGGAGTGACTTGTCCCCCAACTTGCCTCATGGGTTGTACATGGTCTGTTAGATCCAGATTGGAACTTTGCAGCCAGCGAATTCATGTGCCTGTGTACAATCAGGAGAGCTTGGAGGCTGCACAGACGCAGCCAGAGAGTAGTTATAACCATTTCTTCTCTGATACATGGCTCCACTCGTTTGCCATTTCTTTGCTGAGAGGAGAGGAGAGTCCTTTCCTTGGACTTGGAGAATGCTGCTGGGTTGGCTTCTCTGCAGCACAGCCTGGGACACCTCCCTAGATCTTACAAGGCCTTGTCTTTCTCATGCCACAAGCTGGACCCGAGGTAGTTCTTCATTTTCAACAGGGAGATGGACTAGCAGAAGCTCAGCAGGCTGCCCCAGAAGAAAAGAGCTCAGTTTCTCCAGCTTAAACCAAGTCAGGACCAAAGTACTAACCTTTAGTTAACCAACAATCATGCTTCTTTTATACTTCTGTTCAAGCTAGCTCATTTTCCTTCAAGGCTGTCAAATTCCCCAGTTACTGCATCCCTCTGACGATTGCTTCTTTTTTAAAGGTAAGCTGTTTGGAGCAAGTGCCCAGTTATGTGTATTAGATCTGGGTGCACACACATTTTATACTCGTGTTCTTCTCTTAGATGGGCTAATTAGATGGGCTCTGCATGCACCCCTGTGCTGCCCTGACAGTTACTGCCCTCAGTAAACAGCAAGGATAATAATTTTTGCAATATTTTCGAGGTGCTCCTCTGTAGCCCCACAGGGTTCTGACTGCAGCAGCAGGGCTGCATCTCACCAGCAAAGGCATGAATGGCTGCAGACCTCTGTCTTCAAGGGGGATACCTGCTAGGCTGTAGCTACCACAGTGTTGGGAGGGTGCTAACATCCATCAGGCATAATTCAATTAAAAAAATACCATCTGATCATCAGTTTCTAAATGTGATTTCAGAGCAGTGCAAAACTATCTTGCAAGGACACTCTGGGTAGTTTTAGGGACCAAACCAGATACATCTACTACAGTTCAAGAAGTTAGGTAGGTAGGTAGTTTCAGGTGTTTTAATCATTTTTGAGAGCAGAGCAGGTGGTACTGAAGTACTGGCATGTGAGGAACTAATGAAGAACAGAAGCAGATGAGAAAATTAGCTCCTATTTTTCCATAAAACCATGGATGTATTATAGACAGAATAAAGTCAGGCAGATATGTGGTGACCAAAAGAAAGTTCACTCTCGATTTCTGTCTTCTGGTGTTCTCCAGACAGAAATAAGAATGTGCCTGAAAGAAAGTTGTGGTCGTTTGGCAGTCCTCCCGTGAGGTTGGGTAGTGTGATTAATTCTCTGTGGTTTGCAAGACTCACATTAGAAATTCAGCTCTTAAATGTTAGCTTGGCCAGTGGAATTCCCTGCAGGCAAAGACCCTGTGTCTCCCTCGAGCTGTACCGTGGGAATGGGCCCAGTGCAAGTGTGGGTGGTGTTAACACCATCCTATTCCCAGTGACGACACAGTCTCAAGGACGTAACCATTTACTCACTATGTTTTGGACACTGTAACTACAGCTCTGCTGAGGCAGAGGGTTTTGTGGCACATCCACTTAAGAGCTGATGCAATTCCAGTGACATCCAAATGTCATCTCCTATGCAAAGTAGAGCTGAGAAGTCTGAATTCAAACTGCCATGTCCGGGAAGACAGGATGTTCTTGGATGTTTTGAAATTCGGGGGAATGTTCAAATCCTTGCCTAATAAACTTTTTCCAATTTATTTTAAACACCTATGTTTTTAAACCCCTTGATATTTTTTGGCTACCAGTGAATTAACAATTAACTAAAGTAACTAGAATAAAACCAATATTGTTTGTGGGAGTATCAACTGAAATTAAGCAGCAAGAACAAAGTGACTCTGCTGGGTCTTTTCCCAACATCTAGAGCTGGCACAGGAGGATATAGGAAGGTGTTTTCATTTCAGATGTGCATTGTTACAGTTGTGCTGCAAATGTTTTCATTTAATGTCTCACTGACTTAGCCATAAGCAGTTTTTGCCTGTTTGTCTTCAGATTAGAGTAACTCCAGTGCACTATAGTGAATTTCTCCGTAGCATGTGAGTTGTGCTCCTGGCTCTGCAGATCTCAGGTAGGGTATGGGTGACATTTCTTTGCTTGGGAAACGTTGTTCTTCTGACTGGTCAGGCAGTCAGAAGTGAACAAGTTGGTGTGCTGACAAAAACCGGTTCCTTTGAATGAGAAGCAGAAACTCAAAACATTGTTCCCAACCTTTTTGAACAAGCATTGCTCACCATTTCAGGGTAAGCCATTGTCAATGAAAAATATAAATGTGCAGTTGGTTTCTACACCTGAGCTAGAAGGCTGTCACCCTTGGTGACTGTCTGAGCACGTCCTCTGAATTCGTGATACTTTTGATACGGCCGGTGTTGGATGCTCTACAAATGACGATAAGATACGTGGGTGTGTTTCTCGGCCTCTCCCAGCCCCTGGGGCAAAGCTGCCTCTGGATTCATCTGGCTAAAGGGGAGCTAGAAAAGTCAGTGAGCCAGGATTTTACACTGGAAGCACTTGGCTGTCCCAGTGGTCGTGTTCGTCTGAACGCAGAGGAGGAGTTGTAGCTGTACAGGGCCTCGGCAGAAGGCAGGTGAAACAGGAGGAGCTGAGGCTGGACTTCAGTGCAAATGGCAGGTCAGCAGATGGGAGAGGACAGTTGGGGTTTCCTCGTTGTGCTCCTGTGTGGTGGCCTGTTTGGGATGTGTTTCTCCTTAGCCTCCTTAGCTGGAAGCCAGTCATGTGCATAGCATTGTAATCCAGTATTTACACCTGTTTTAATTTCGGAAAGCTAACATACCCACTGTGATTCATCCTCCAACTCATCTGCTGCCCTCCTCTCAGGATGGCAAAGTTGTTGAGAGGGAGTCTGACCATCTGCATGAATCCTCTGCCCTTCAGTGCTCTGCCCTGGAGAGTCATGTCACGGAGCCTCAAACAGGAGCTGCTGCTTTTGGGCTAGATGATTCACAGGAAGCTGGCTGATGTATGATTTTCTTTACAAACTGGGAGGCTGTTCCCCCCCCACCCCCAAACTGGCATTGGGCAGCTGATGTGCAGATAGAGCCAAACACCGTATTTCTGGTTTTCCACTTAGTAGCAGCAGTGCCCTTGTGAGCAGAGACAGTGAGAGGAAATCTTTGATTGTGAAAATGGCAACCTGCTAATGACTTCCATTCCTGCTTTCTCTCCTCTCAGAACATCCCCACCCTGGGAAGCGTAGCAATAACCATGGCGCTCCACAACTGTGATGAGGTGGCGGTAGCCGGGTTTGGCTATGACATGAGCTCACCCAATGCACCCCTGCACTACTATGAGACCATCAAGATGTCTGCCATCAAAGAGGTAGGGAGCTCCTGCCAAGCACATCTTCCTGCCAAGCCCGCCGGCCACCCTGACTCCAGAGCCTGACTGGGATGGTGATGTCAACTTCCAGCTTTCCTGTGTGGGTCAAAACACAGCTCCACCCATGCATTTGCCTGTAAAATTCTAGACATTCTCCCAAGCGCAATGTATGTTAAAAATGGTTATTACTGCTGGGAAAAGTTCTCTGGAATGTGTATATAATGTAATTCCTTCTTTGAGCAGCAGGGAAAAGATTCACGTAAATGTCAACTCAGGAAGGGTGAAAGGGAGCAGTTCTGCTCTGGGGTTGAAAAGATGTGACCTCTCATGATTTTTGATCCATTGTATTGTTCTCTGATCCATAGGCTTCTTTTGTGAGATGATCCCCTCTTCAGGCCCTGTGAAACATGGGGAGGTGAGATCAGCCCATGCAGCCCTCAGAGGACTGTTCAGCAGCAGTTTGCATGTCAGGGCTCTGCAGACACTGCTCTGTAAAATGAGTTGCACTTTAGAAACATTTTCTGGTACTATCACAGCATTTTTGGATGAACAAAAGCTCTCTTATTGGTACAATGCAGCAGTTGGATGCCTTCAGGTCTATCCATTTCCAGTACCAAGCTAGAGCAGACTTGGGACACTGGTCAAAGCTTCTGCAGTGGGGAGGTTTGCTGCTTTTTTGGTAGAGCTCATTCTTTACAAGCACAGATGTGGCCCAGGAATTTCTAAAATTGCTTCTCCCTCTTCACAATCTCCTTGGCAGGGAAACTTCCTCTGTCCTACTCCACTCTGTGAAAAGTTGTATTGTTCATGGACAGTAGCTGCCTCCTGGCGCTTGGCATTTGTTCGCCTCAAGCCCTTTACCATTGATCCAGATTAGCAAGGAAGCTGGGAAGTTGGGTTTTTCCAAATCACAAGATTGTACGTGTCTTAGTACTCTCACTGTAGGTTGCATGGCTGCAGGCTGCATGACCCTAGGCAGACTGAGAGAAATTATAAATCAGTGATTAGTCAGCTTGAGAAATGAGAAGAGTGTGTCTAATTATCAAGAGTAATGAGGCTTTGGAACAAGCTCTCAGGAGAGGCCAGGAGAACACACTGAGTTTGGGAAAAGACTATGAGGAAGTCCTGGTATATCAGGGGACTGGACATCGTGGTCCTGAGGTACCTTCTGGGCCTGTGGAGGTAGCAAGAGAGTCTGCCTTGCTCAGTGAGATAACCCTGTATTTAATCAGTCCTGGCTGGGGAAGTGAGTGCTCATTTACAGAATTTGAAGGGGATGTCCAGAGAGGAAAATTGAATTGAGTAGCTGTGTTCGGAGGTGGTCTGGCTTGTGAAATCCCTGAATAGAAAATAGCTAAGGAATACTAATTTTTCCAGCAGTAGAGGAGGTACAACCATTGGCCTGCCCAGGTCTGAGTCATTACAGCTGGTTGGCAGAAACAGTTGGATAACAGAGTCTGTAATTGAAGTCACTGGTCCGGATCACTTGGATCTCTGATTTTGGAAACCAGCACCCTGAACGGGATCCAAACGCCACTGAAAGGCCGGAAGAGGTCACTCCTGGACATTGTATGTGGTCTCAGGAATGAACATTGCGTGGCACAGGGCAATTAGATGAGGATGAACACATGAAATGCAACCAGTAAGGTCTCCTGGAGAGAGCAGTTCGTGCCTGATTTGCCAGGCCTCTGCTGTCTGGAAGCTGTCAGTCATCGTGTCCGGGAGGTTCTGTACAGAGGTGAGGGAGCGTTGAAAGGTTCTGTGAAGCCTCACTAGTTCAGATGTCACTGGATTTGTTCCTGCAGACGAGGCTGTTGTTGAGAGCTCTGCAGGCCAGAGGAGCTGGTTCTAGGAGGAAGGTTCCTGTTCCACTTGAAGACTGGTTACCTGATACGTGTCTGCCCATCTAATCCTCACATCCTCACCCACAGCTCCTCTTACATTTCACTACCCTGGTACAAGAAAAGCCATCTGTTCCCAAGTATCAATAATTAATGCTCCTCCTGCCTCTGCCCCTCCCAATATGACAAATTGTTTGTGATATTGTGGAATGTGAAGAGCAGAGAGAGGATCACCTTTCTTTCTCTCCCATTTAATATTAATGGTAGCTGGTAATTGTTAGTCACCTGAGGGTGAAGTTGAAAGGTGAAGGGCATAATAGCTGGATTATGTCTTCTGCAGTTGCCCTCAAAGAATGCACAAATAGAGATTTGGCCCACTCCAGACTGGAAGCACCCAGCACACTCTGCTCGGAGAAAGATCTGCATGCACTTTGCGAATTGGAAGGCTGGCCTGCACTGGTACCTCGTGCCGAACCTTGCCCTTGGCATTAGTGAAAGAAGACTGACTCAGAACCCAGCTCCACCAAGATCTTTGTCTGTTCCATCTGCTCTGACACCCAGAGGCCCAAAGGGCATCCACAGCATTTTCCTCAGTGTTACTTTGGGCCTCTGGGATTATGCCCAGACCTCGTTCATTCTGGTCCTCCTCTATCTTTCAGCATCTAAAGGAGCCACTAAAGCAAGCTATGCCTTGAAATTGTGCAAGCATCATCTTTGTCCTCTGGCCTGCAGACCCGTGGAGCCTGGAGTACTCATTCCTGGGCAGGGAAGGGGAGTAGGTTTGCTTAACCTAGCCTTATCACAGCTGTTCCACAATAATGAACATCCCAGGCAGGAACCGCTGCAGTTTGACCAGGTTTGGTGGGGCAGAACCTCTGTTTCTGAAGTCCAGAGCTCTTCACTGAATGCCAAGCTCCTTCAGCCTGAATGTCCAAAAATCTTCAGTGTTTAAGCCTAGAGAGCAGCTGCAGGGAAGCACTCCAGCTCCACCCTGAAACCATCACTGTCTTTGTAGAGGAAATGTAAACACCAGCAGTGTCCTGGATCTGGAGGTGCCACACGTGTGTGAGAGTCTGTCTGGTAACATTGGAGAGCCCCTTCCCTTGCCCGGTGTCTCTGGGGGAGGTGGCCCTGCTAGAAAGCTGTGAGTCCTCTGAGCAAGGTGTGCCACTGATTTACACTTGAGGCTGCTTGACATCTCTCTGGACACCCTCGAAGCCCTGTGACTCATCTCCGAGGAATTTGCTCTGATTACATAAAAAAGACGGCAAAATGCGCTTGCTTGCTCACAGCTGGGCGGAGATGCCTCTCCCATGCCAAGACTGAGGTGATAAAATCTCTGTGGAAATTAATGTGAATTTTCCTGCTGCTCTGTGGGACTGACAGCTGAATTTCCATGAGGAGAAATAGGCAGCCCCAGTCCATAGTTTTGCATAGCCTTTGCTTTCCCAGCAGGAGTAAAAGCCCTCAAGGTCCAAGATTGTGCTGGTCTTGCTACCACAAAAGGCAGCTGCCTACACTGACTCTTCCAGGATCTCCTACTCCTGAGGGCTAAGCAGGCATTTCCTGCCCCAGAGGAAAAGGCTCTGCAAGGAGGCAGATGCTCTGGAGCTTTATCACTGTTACTAGTCAAGAGGAAGCGTATGGTCTTTGGACTCTGGTCAGCAGTATGGCTGCAAACACACATCCTGTGCTTGTGGATGCTCATGAGAGTAAATTTCTCCAGTTCAGCCCTGGATGGCTTCTTTACCTTCTGTCCTGCGTATCTCAGTGTACTCTGGCCAGGGTATGTCCAGGCAGAGCTGGTGGAGAAGACCCTTTGCTGTTCCCAAGTGTGGCCTGGAGAGCTGGAAGCACACTGGTGCAGTGCTTTGAGTTTCGGGCTGTGAGCTGGAAGATCAAAGCTTGCACTGCAAATCGGCCCCTGGATGCCAGCTCTGCTGCCCAGCACCATCTCCCCTCGTCTGTCATCTTCTCCCCATCATGGCTGAGGGTGCAGAGTCCCTGGCCTGCACTTCAGTGGGGGGTTTCTGGGTGGTATGAAGACAGCCTGCTCTTCTCTGATCTGTTACTGGGACGCTCCTGCCCAATAGACCCAGTGCTGTTGTATAAACCCTCACAGGTGATTTTTCAGCTCTGATCCCCCTCTCTTTGTTTTAACTTACAGAATGTCCGAGTGTGTCACCTCTGTTCAGTTACTATTTTCCCTGTTCCAAATAACTTTGCAACAGCTTTTGACCCTTGCCTGCTTCCATGAATGTTGTACAGAAAATGATTTGAGTCTTTGCCAGGCTGTCTGCTAACTTGTTTCTGTTTTTGTGGCAATGAATCCATCTGAGCTGGATTTTCATATACTTTATTGTATTTTTATTTCTTGCTCAGGTCCTGTAATGCTTCCTGCCCAAGCACTCCATAAAAGTGTATTTTTATCACAGGTCACTGTCTTCTATTAATGTAGAAGTGTCAGACCCACTGGGAACATAGCGGAGGAAACATGGAAATGGTGGTGAGGAAAAAGGAATAATTTTAAAATAGAGTGAAATAGAAATTATTTAAGGATGGGAAAGTGGCTGTTTAGAATAGTAAAAACAGATCCATAAGGAGCTTATGAAACTGAGAGAGCAGGGGGCTGTGCTAAATCATGGGAATGAAGCGCAAGACTGGCTCCCAGCATCCCTCTTCCATGTGCTCTGCTGCAGCACACAGCCTTGTCCAGCTTCTCAGTCCAGAGGTGAGCTTAGATCTCCTGGTCATTTCTTGCAGGAGCAAGAATGTGAGCAAGCAATCACCTCGGTGCCACACAGGGAGCTGTCTTCTTGCACTTGTGATTGATAAAAATGGCGAATGCGTGATTAAAAGCCGCCCTTACCCATCCAGAGCCTGTCTGCGGCATTTGTGTCCCGCAGCAGAGCTGCTGACAGGTCTCCTTTTTCCTGGAGGAGCAGATCAAGCACCAGCCCCGACGTTGGAGGTGTCAGCTCCTTTGATACAGCTGTGCCCAGCACCTCGGTGACTCGCTGCCTGACCCGGGAGGGGGAGGTGGGCGGCCGCCTTTGATGGCTTCTTTCTGATCCTTGGCTCCGCTTCCCCAGCAGGTCTTTGTGGGATGCTGGAGGACACTGTCTTGTAACAGTTCTTATTCAGCCCATGTAAGGGCTG